TTGAGCAACTTGAGCCTTTTGATATGAATAATATTAAGAGTTTCCTTTTGTACTTGCTCTCATATTATCAATATAGCTCTGCATATGAAATAGAGCTATGTTCTTATGTTATTAGTTTAGCATATATAACTTTATGCTTAATCTTTCATACAACATACATGTTTAGACCAAGACCTAGATTGAGATGGCGAGTTCTACTTTAAGTTAGTTTTGGTCATTATTTACTTGTGGGTTCGTTGTCGTCCTTGTGGTAGATATTCTAGTAGAGGGCCCTGATAAAAATGGATAACCCTGCGCACGCTAGATTAGTAATCAATAGCATAGACATAAGTTAGTTTTGGTCATTATTTACTTGCGGGTTCGTCATTTGTCCTTGTGGCGGATACTCTAGTAGAGGGTCCTGATAAAAACGGATAACCCTGCGCACGCTAAAGTAGTAATCAATAGCATAGACATGATGTTTAGGCTAGAGGCTACCTTCGTTTGCCTCATTCCCCGCGGTTAAGGGGTAGGTGGCAGGTGGTGACGGCCCTGTCCGTCCCTCGCAATCCCCCACGTCCGGGTTCAGCGTAGAGCAGTAGGCCGACAACGCTTGGCAGACCAAGTGTTATCCGGTGCCCGAAGTAAGTTTATAGTGACCAAAGTTATTTTAACTTAGAATCTCTAACCTTAGAAACACATGTATTTGTATGATCATCTGCTCATCTTAGCATAGCTATATAAGATAAGTCTGCTCCAGTTTAGGTATATTCTTTTATTCTTTATTATCTCTTTTATCTTTATCTTTGAGATTGGCTTGAGTGTGTTTGTCACACTATCCAATATTTATCCTGTCTTACCCCTATTATGAATTTTAGTCTATTATACAGTCATGTTATCTTATCCATGACCCTACTAGAGACTTTTACACCATGCCTTCATTTGAGAAAATATAAATGAACGATACCCAAATACATCTGGGTGAAATGCTATAACAATATATCCATGCGTTTGCGGAATATTTTTTGTATTTGTTCAGAAATATCATCACGACATTTCTAGTGTCATTGCTAGGAAACACAAATCCTAGAAGTGACACTAAGAAACGCCAACACTCCCCACTAGAATTTAATTGCATTTTAAGTGTTTGGTAGGGCTCCACGGAAGCTGAGAGTAAAGCTGGAGCTGGGAGCTGTGCCAAAGGGGCCCATACAAAGGCCCAATAAAATATTGTAGCCTAGCCCACTAGTTGTCTGTATAGGTATATATTGTTCCTCCTCACACCTCAAACCTTGGGACCCAGCCACTTCAATTCTTTTCCTCGCCCCAACCACCAGGTGCCTAGAACCCGCTGCCCTAGACCCATCTGTTGATTAGTCCGGTGGGCATGGTGCATCCCCTCTCCCTTCATCTTCAACCGACGGTAGCCCCAAGCAGGGCGTGGTGGCGGCCCCATCAGGATGGCTCGTCGGTGGCTGTCGACCCCTAACATGCGTAGTCATGGCACCTCCCTTCGGCCGACGTATCTAAGTGGAGAGCAACGATGATGGTGGGCCCCACTAGTGCTTGCAGCACGCCACCTCCTGTCAACTAACGTATCCAAGTAGGAGAGTGGTGGTTGCGGCGGTCGGCCCCCCAAATTGTGTGAGTCAGCACCGGGGCTCCACATGGATGCTCTGACCTCCACTGGATGCAGGGACAAGCACAAGCACGAGATGGAGCAGCGCGTGTGGCGAGGCACTCAACAATGACTCGTTTTTTATTGCTTTTTTGGCTTTGTTGAACCTGTAAACCGATTAGTTTGGTTATAACATAGACCGAACCGAAATAATCAAAACCGAATTTCATCAGTTCCTATTTTTACAGAGAACCGATTAGCTCCTAGTTCTGATGGAACCAAATTTCTAAAAAATTGAAGAAATAAACCGACGGTTAACCGAATGCCTACCCCTAACCATGGGAGCCTCATAAAGCTTGGATAAGGGCTGAGGAAGGAGGGGGAGAAGAGGATCCACGGCAGTAGCCTTTTTTTTGACACCACCATTTAGCCACACCGCCCAGCTTCGTTGGTGGCAACTATAATGGAGCACATGTTTACTATATTACCACATTGTCAAATCATGGATTAATTATGCTTAATAGATTCGTCTCGCAAATTAGTCTCAATCTGTGCAATTAGTTTTGTAATTAGTCTATATTTAATACTCTAAATTAATGTCCAACATCCGATGTGACATGGATTAAACTTTAGGAAACACCCCCTTAGTCTTTTTGAAGTACTCATATAGATAAGATGACTTTGTCAATATCAATATAGGTGTGTTCGTGTGTTCTGCGATTTGAATAAAGAGACGTCTACATGCTCCCCCGTTCATAGTTTTATAGTTTTATATAAAACTCGTATGTTTGCTTTTTATATTGTTACTTTCCTTTACTACAGTTACATGCTCCCCTGTTCCAAATAAGTGTAAGCATTTGAAATTTGTCCTAAAATACATATACTTTTAGGTATGATCCATTTAGCTTATGCTGAAATTTGGTTTATGCTAATGCTTATGCTGATTTATTGTGAGAGTAAAATAATGTTCCTTCGCTAAAAAATGATGTTGAAGTATTGCTGCAGAACAAAGCCAAGTAGATTTTCTTTACTTTCTCTACACCTAAAGTGAATTTATTTTTGTTGAAATATAGCTTTTGATAGGTAAATATGTAATTTTCAAATAACATTGATGTATTTAAGAAATCCTAGAAGTGCTATTATTTTACAACAGATGGAGTACTCACATGTTGGCCTCTTTGTTTGGCAACAAGGTGTTCAACATACACACACACATATATATATATATATATAAATACATATTCTTTTAAAATGTTATACTTCACCGTAGCTGTCTCGTATTCTAATAAGTTAAATATTTTTAATTTTAATCAAATATATATGTAAGAGAATATATTTATGATGTATAATAAATATTATCAGATTAATTGTTGAATATTATTAGAGATGCATATGTTAATAATATTTTCACATACAAACCTAACTACTAAATCTCTGTACTAAGGTCATTCACAATGGAGGTTTATGTCCCAATTTTCAACACACTTATATTTTAGAAAACAGTGCATGTGAGTTTTCTTACTCCTATAAAATTTTTATCATCCCTCTTCATCAATATAGGGTCATATCAGCATATTTAATACCTATACTCTTATAAAACTCTCATGAAACTTTACTAAAACTGGCATAATAAAATGAAGGGTTATCGTCTACCCGACAACTAATGACCGGCTCGGTTGTGTTGCCTGAAGGGTTATCGTCTACCCGACAACTAATGACCGGCTCGGTTGTGTTGCCGCTCGACTCCTCGTGCCTTTCAATTCGATCCGAATTCTCCCACTCATGCCATGCCGAGCGCCGACATCGACGCCAGCCCCGATGTCCTGGACCTAGATCGAGCGGCACCGGTGCAGATGACCATCATGCGTTACAACACGGACACGATTTTAGTTAAAAAAATGGATTAAGTCTATTTTTGGCCCCTTAACTACTGTGTTGGTCTAATTTTAACCTTCAACTATAAAATCATCTAGTACCGGTACCCTAATTGTCAAAACCGTTCACTTTTAGCACCTGGACGGGGGCAAGGCTGTTCTGACAGACGTTGAAAGGTTTTGACCACGCCACACTGGCGTTGACCGCCACGTAGGACGCTGGCCTGCATCTCAGCGACATGTGGGGCCCGTGCATCACCCACTCATTCCCTCCCTCACACCGGGCAGAGCAACAGAGAATAAGAGAGAGAGAGAGAGCAGCGCGGTGACGGTGGCAAAGGGACGCGGTGGTCTTGGCCGAACCATCGTGGAGCCATTTCCACCCTCCAAACCGAAAAATGGATCGTAATCCTAGGGGCTGGGGTTACCTCCACCCCATCCCCATCATCCGATCCGATCCCTCACCGCCATGTCCCATCACGACGAAGCAAGCCCTACCAGCCCCTTGCCAGTTCCGAGCGGCACCTGCGGCCAGCGGACGAGATCGTCGCTCCGCCTCCCGTCGCCGTTGCCCCATCGGTGGAGCACCTGTATGGCGGCCACCCGCCGCGGCGGCGGCGTTGAACCGCTTTCCATGGCGGAGCCATAGGTGCACGAGCAGGAGGTTGGGGAGGAAGAGGACGAGGACAAGGAGGAAGACGAGATGGAAGAAGAGGACGAGCAGCTTAGCCCGATTTGGTGGCTCGGCACTGTGGCGGCTAGCGGCGCCCCTGCGGCTTCGACGTGAAGGGCTTCAGCATCCGAGGAGGGGGTGGCGCTTGGCCTCGAGGCGATGGCAGCTCCATCTCGGCGGCATGGCAGACGAGGGTGGAGCCACGCAAGCAAGCGGGCCAGGGCGGCGGCTCGTGGCGTGCTCCTCAGCACCTACGAGATTCCCCCTTCTTTCCGACGGGAGCAGAGTAGAGTGCGCGCTCGGCACTGTCGATTCCAGTCAGGGGAAGAGCGGCCGATGGCGATGAAGCCTGCCCAGGGCTCTCGCGTGCCCAGCGCGACCCGCAGGCGCCAGCCATCAACGCGCCCAAGCATTTAGCGGTGATGGTAGTCGGTGAGGAGGAGACCGCTGTGGGCGACCCCCCACCTCCTCCTCCTCCTCGACACGGGTGGAGGCCCCAGTGGCCCCGACACGCAGTGGTCTTTGGGATGGTGGCCCCAGCCACTCTGTCCCGAGCCATCCCCGGCGTCGGATGAGGCCCCAGCGACCTGCCGGCTCTGTCAGAAGCATGCGCGCCCCAGATCCCCTCGATCTGTCGCTTCCGCTACCTCGGGTTCTCGGCGGTGCGCTTCCTCTCCCTCTTCTTGCCGCCACCTTTCTCATTGTCTCCATGTCGGCCACCGCCCGGACCTTTGTTGAGACGACGCAACATTGGGCGAGGTGCGAGATGCCGGATCCATCGATCTGCGCCGCCTTGAGCCGAAGTCGTTCCTCCATGGCTAGTCGCAAAGTGATGTTGGCATGGATTGCGTCGACGATGGCGGTGGCTAAGAGGCGTCTTTCTTGGTTGGATGAACGCCTCCGTGATTTACAACCAAAATCCATGGCGTCTGTACCTCGCTCTCCCGCAGCAATGGAATGGCGGTGCGAACGGAGGCTGAGTCGCTAGAGAGCGTGGCGCGCGCTCGGCCGAGGCGCGGGCGCGGGCGGCGGCGAGAGAAGAGAGAGAGGCGCAAACGCGGAGTCGTTGGAGAAGAGAAAGGCGCGCGGCGCACAAGGGTGCGGGAGGAGCCGACCGACGGCGAGCGCCGCCACGCCGAAAGCGGCTTAAGGCGTGGTCATCGAAAAAACCCTAGCAGCAATGGCAGCTTCATCCTCGCATGGAGCTCCATGGTGAGCTAGGTCTAAGCGCAGGAGACGATCATCGTCGCCAGAGCTCGCTCATCGCCGCCGCCCAGTAGCCCTCTGGGCGTGCCATCGCATTGTAAGCCATTCGCCGCCGTTGTCTCCTTTACGCACGCAGGAACAAAAGGAAAGAGAGGGCCAGCGTGGCAATGTCAACGCCAGCGTGGTATGGTCAAACCCGCTCCACGTTGGACAAAACAACCCTGCCCGCGTTCAGGTGCTAAAAGTGAACGGTTTTGACAGTTGGGTACCAGCATTAGACGGTTTTATAGTTGATGGTCAAAATTAGACGAACGTAATAATTGAGGGCCCAAAAGTAGACTTAATAAAAAAATAAACGGTAGAAAACATGTGTCTCTATTTTGAGACTTTTCCCTGTGTGCCACTATAAAAGATCGCAATCCTCTGTGTGTCCCTGTAAAAATTCAGCGGTCTTCAGCGTCACTACTTCAACTTTTTCGTGTCCTCCATGCCACTTCCGTCAGTTTGAGATCTAACGCCGTCAAACTGCAGGTGTGAAAAGACGAAAATGCCCTTAAGTTCAAATATGTTATTAATTTTTTTTAGCATCTTAACGACTTCAAATGAAAAAACTCAAAATTAGAAATTTGTAGATCTCGTCGAGATCTATAATTTTCATATAAAAATTATTTTCATTTAATTCCGTAAAAAAATATGATTTGATATGATTAATATATCTTAGAAAAATCATATTATTTTTTTGCGGAATTAAATGAAAATAAATTTTATATGAAAATTATAGATCTCGACGATATCTACAACCTTCTAATTTTGAGTTTTTTCATTTGAAGTCGTTAAGATGCTCAAAAAAAAAATTAATAACACATTTGAACTCAAGGGCATTTTCGTCTTTTCACACCTGTAGTTTAACGCCATTAGAACCTAAATCGATGAAAGTGGCATGAAGGACACGAATAAATTATAATAATAACGCTAAAGACCGCTGAAACACCGAAAATTACGATCTTTTATAACACCACGCGTCAAAAGTCTCCTCAATTTTGGACGGTCGGGGGAGTACGCACCGCCCAGATTCGAGAAAGGCTGATGTCCCATCTAACGGCGCCGGCTGCCCATCCGCAAGGCCGCGAGTCCGCACGAGCTCTTTGCCCCCAGCCCCCACACCAAAACCCTTCCGCTAATCCGCCGCGTCGCCCCGGCCGGCGGCAGCATCTCCAAACCCTCGTCGGCCCCCGCCGGCGGCAGCATCTCCAAACCCCTCGTCGCCGGTCTCGCTCTCGTCAGCCTCCACTTTGTAGGCTGCGCGGTGTATACCGCTTCCACCTCCCACGCTTCCTCCGCGCCACCTCGATCTGTGCGGCGGCAAACCCAGAGATCGTCGCCCCGCCCGCCGGCGAAAGGCGCCCCCCTCTTCGCTGCCTGCGATGCAGAGGATACTGTAAGCGAGCTATCCAAGGAATGAATGATTCGGGCTGGTCACGTGGTGTTCTCACAATCATCTTCCGTTTCCGTGTCATTTAGATCGAGGGCCGCTCGCCGGTGCACGAACTCCACGGTGGCATTCAAATCCCCTCACGTAATATGCAGGATTTCTTCCTGTACGCTCCATGTTGTTTTGTTTATTTGCGTGTGGGTTAGATGCTAATAATACTGATTTCTTGCAGGTGCAGGCCAATGCAGCAGGTGTTCACTCTGAAGACGCCCCAACTTGTTCAAACAGTAAGCATACTTTCAATTATTTTGGTTTCGTTATTGGTTTGTATGAATGTTGTAGTTGGTTTCATGTTTGGATATGCTTGTATGATTATTAATCTGGAAATGGTACGAACAATTCAGATGAACGTTGTCAGTGTACGGAAAAACGGTTTAATTTGTTTATATGCCTATATATTTGATGCTTTGTCTTTGCCTGCGTAGCATATGGGTTTTTGTTCGTCGAGGCTTGGCTCACTGCCTGGTATAACTGATTGTTCTCTGCCTACAGCAAGTTTCACTTTGATATACCATGCTTGCTTCATCTTATCATGGTCTCCGAGCTGAATATTACCCTCAGTTAGCAGAATTTTTGTACGTGAATTTTGTGCGTATCAGTATGTAAACAATGTTACAGTGATTACAGAGTATGATGATTTTACATGGAAGACTAGTTTTGTTAGACCCATGCAATCAGAAGTTGTCAATGCTCTCCGTGAGAGGTGACGGCGCAGCGCGAGCATCGTTGATTCTTTCGAACTTTCATCACACCAAGGAAGCACTGACCAAGGAAGATTTTTCTTATATATTGGAGTATTGTGCAGAGGCACCTGATCCTTTGGTAAGTCTACTGTTAAATGCATGTTTTTTTTTCTTTTTTACCACAGCATGACTTTGATACAGTCATTTTGATTAGAACTCCATTTGGAGCTTTTCCATTATTTCTAGTTTGTTATGGAAACTTTGGAACTCATGGAGGAGAAGGCCATTGGCATGAGTAAAAGTATCTACAGATATGTCATTAGAGCTCTGAGCAGAGGGGGATATGAGAAGGAGGTACGTAGTACTTCTCTTTTCTCAAGCTAATAGCAATATTAGTAGCACATCATATTCTTTTGTTAAAGATAAACAGACCGCAAGATGATGGCAAAGCTTCCATTTCCTTGTGATACTAGCTTGGATGTTTGGTCCAAATGCCATAAATGATGCACCATAGATAACAGACCCACGTTCGGGGTACTGGTTGAGTGGGTCCGTTATATTCGACTTGTCCTTGCTAGCCCAGCTTGGGATTTAAAGGCTTTATTGTTGCTGCTTCTTTTGTTGTCACGCCACCCTTTTGTGCAAGGGTATGGCTACAAATATTTGCCCGCGCACTGATAGCTTGCAGGGAACTTCTCTGTGTATTTTTAAATTTTCATTTGTAAGAGAGGTGAATTGGAAAGTTAGTTGTAAATTCTGCTGCTCAAGTGTCTCATAAAATTATTAAACAAACATAACGCTGGTTTATGGAAAAAATAAGCATACTGCACACTGTATTACCATTTGAAATACAAGATAGACAGGCTTAATCACATGCTTGTCTACACATTTAAAAGATTTTGACCCTTTTTAATGTGTTACTTTGATGAGTTGATGCGTATTGGGGTAAGTTTATTACTAATTTTTCTTCTTTTAACACAAATTCTGCGTGATCCAGTGGAATTTAATTTCTTTTATGTGTGCTGTATGTTTGACAGCCTAATGAATAGTTTAGCTCCATGCAGTCTGCAAGTTCAGAATCTTCTTTCCTATATAGGCACTTCACTGGCTGGCTCTTCTTGGGGAGAAAGAAAGCACTCATGCCACTATACCGATTTTTAATATCTTTCTAAATGCCTGTGGAAGTAGAGAAAATCTGAAGGATGCTGAATGCTGTCTTGAGATACTGGAAAATCTTTTTCTTGGGAAGTCTGAAATAACATACTGTGAGCTTTTGAAGGTTTGTACGAAGAAATGTTCTTTCTTATATGCCCATTTAATATCAACTCACCTGACTTTTCTGTTGTGGCCGCAAGCCTACTTTCATATCAAATTGTTCATCATATATTGCTTCCTCCTTGGTCCATTTTTTAAAAATACTAACATGCTGCTGCCTAAGTAGTTCCCTTTTCGCATATTGTTTTATCTGTGTGGCTTTCACCTCATCCTGAATAAATCAGTATAAAATGACTGTAAATCCATAGTATTTCCTTAATCATTTTTTTCTTAGTATTGTTACTGATCCAATTTTAGTTTACTCATGCGAAAATTCTCGTGCCCTTTTATTTTGTGTATTTCATGAAATACTACATTTATATATGCAGTAGCCATCACTATATATTTATGTACCGTGGTCGTTGGAAGACATACTTGTCCTTACATGCTAATAGAACTAATGTTGTGACAGATTGCTTGTTTGATTTTTTTCAGCCTGAATGTTCATTCTAGCATAATTAATTCATTTTTATATAATACTGTGGCAGCTTCGCTTATTAGTTTGTTTTGTGTTTTTTAGCTTGCAGTGTTACAGGGAAATTTGCCTGCAACTTATGATATCTGGAAGGACTGCTGTAGGTATTATAGCCCAAGCATTATCATGCAAAGGAGACTTATAAGGGCTTTAACTGCGCTAGGTGACCTTCAATCTGCATATCACATCTTGCAGCATATGGTAGCCCTTGCTGCACGAAGCTCTGACTATCTGAGGGTGTCTTCTAAAAGAAGATACCAGTCATCGAGACTAGACATTCCTGTACCTGCTTTGAATGAATTTGAAGATCTCACCCTGCCATCATGTCAAGGGAAGCTGGCTACTGGCGAACATTTGGTTGATGCTCAGCCTGAGCTATTTGAGGAGAAAACTCGGTCAGGTCTGCATTCCATTTCATACACCATCCACTATATTAGTGTAGTCATCATCCCAATGAGATATATAAAACTTATTTTGTTTCAGCTTTGTTCAGGCAACAATCTTTCTTATAAGGTTGGAGTAGATGGTGTTGCAAATACATTGAAGTCTGCACCAAGTGCAGTAAAACAAATTTTGAGATGGGCGTTCAATGATGTTTTGCATGCATGTGTACAGTTTAACAACTGTCAGTTAGCTGAGCATTTATTTACAGAGGTAACAAATATATACACCTATATTCCAGTCTATATAATGGCCATGCAATCTATGCGTTGAACTTAACCTTAAATATTTCTCTGAAACTTTGAACATTTCTATCTTTTAGATGGTAGAAATTCCGTGTGGCAACATTGCATTTGCTAACTTGTTTGGTTCCTCTGCTGCACTGTGTTTGATCTTAGGATAGGAGGGGTGCTATTTCGTTGATGGAGGATAGCAACCTTGCTTACTGGACATTTATTTTTTCTAACTTTGTGTTTGATTTTGTTAGGTGTATATGTAATTTCCTCTTTGTATAGGGATCTTTATGCATTCTTGCCTATGTACATATTTGGGCTTTAGCCCTTCTTCTCAATACAAGCACAGTTCCAAACATGGTATAGAGCCAGCTTCTAGGGTCCACCTGTTGTTCATCGCCACTGCATGGCCAGTGTGGTTCCTCCAGCCTGCCATTGCCCCGCTGTTCCTGCTGTGCCGGCTGATGCAGGGAGGTAGCAGACACGTCCGTCTCGTTGCGGCGCTGTGCTGCGCTGCTGCCCATCTGTGCTTTGAGGGGTGGGGTCGGGGTGAAGGGAATGTGTATGATGATGACATGGCCTCCTACAGGTCTTAGTTTGCAGCATACTGGACTTGGTTAGATGAGGATGCCTGTGCAGGTGCTGTTCTCACTGCTAGTATGGAGGAGCATTTAGCTGCAGATATTATTCAGTTTGACCATGCATCCTCAGATGTGGACTTTTCTTTGTTAGCGTTACGAGCCTTCTGGTCACTCCACCTACATTGCGGCTTTACGGCAGGAGCAGTTGTTGCAGCAGGGTGATGCCACTGTTCAGGAGTTCTTTAACCAGCTATCGGCATGTTGTGAGCTTGACACTCTTGGTCCTCAGTTGTCCGTTGCCACTTGTGAACCTTGTTCGAAGCAGCAGACTCACCTTGAGCTTTGGCGTACCTATGACTTTCTGACTCGTTTTTGTGCAGAGTTTGAGCCTCTTCGTGCTCAGTTACTTGCTCGTGAGCCCTGTGTGTCCCTGATGGAGGCTCTGCTGTTCATAATGGGGAGACCCGTCTTCGGTCTGCTGGTTTGCTTCAGTCAGCCTGCTTGTTTGTCTTGGTGGTTCGTTCAGCCTGCTTGTTTGTCTTGGCTGTTCGTTCTGTACCTTTTGGCTTTATTGCCACTCCGCCCACAGTGCCCTTTTCAGTGGTATCCTCTCTGAGGAGTGGTGGCACTGGTGGACTTCACTGTAGAAAGAAGGCTCACTCTTGCTGAGGTGGTTGTTCCTCATAGGGTTGGCAGTGATGCTACTAATAGCTTGGCTGCTTCTTTCCACATGACTCCTGATCGTACCAGTCTTTCTTCTATTTGTACTTCTATTCCTATTACTGTTCAGACTTCAGACCACTGACGGCTCATCTCTTTCTGTTGCCGGACATGGCACTCTATTGTCCTCCTCTTTTCATGTTCCTAGTGTCTCTTATGTTCCCAATCTGATCATGCAGCTAACACTCAATGTATCCTTGGACCAGTGCCAGGGCTGTAAGCTAGGCAAACAGAGCTTCCATATCATTCTAGTGGGCTAGTTTCGAAGTGTCCCTTTGATGTTATTCACTCTATGTGTGGCAGTGTGGGATTCAGCAGTCTTTGTTTAGAAAGGGGGCCATCATTACTATATTATATTTGTAGATGATTTCTCTCGATTCACCTGGGTTTACTTCAAGAAACATTGTAGTGAGACTTTATCCATCTATAAGACTCTCGCCAAGATGATCCGTACTCAGTTTGAGACTTCTATTCGTGTTTTTCATGTTGACTCTGTTGGGGAGTATCTTTCGGGCGCTCTACGGTAGTTCCTATTTGAGCAGGGCACTCTTCCTCAGTTCTCTTGTGTTAGCATGTTTACTGCTTCCTTTAATACTAGCTGACTGCCTAGGAACCTCCCCTGGCTGTCACTTACTCCCCCTCTTTACTGCTAGTATTTACTTCTCCTTTTGCTGCTAGACGGCTGATGCCTGGGAATCTTCCCTGGCTGTCGCTTGTGTGCTTCCCCCTCTCTCTCTTGTGTTAGTCTAGCTCCTATATAAATCCCTGTAATTTGGTTTACTCAATATGAATGAATACAAGGGATAGTTCATCCTCTATCATGGTATCGGAGCAACAAGAACATTATTAAGACAAAAGGTTCCTGGAAGGACAGCATCACCCGTAGCTATCACAGGAAGAGTGGAACCGTTTCCAACAACAATGGATGTCAAGAATGCCTTCCTCCATGGCACCCTCTCCGAGACTGTCTATTGTTGCCAACCCACTGGATTTATTGACACTGCTCTTCCTGATCATGTTTGCCGCCCCAACAAGTCTCTGTATGGTCTGAAGCAGACACCTCGCACTTGGTACAGCCGGTTTGCCACCTACCTCTTGTCTCTCGGGTTTGTTGAAGCAAAGTCTGACACCTCTCTGTTCATTTACCACCGAGGCAATGAGATTGTTTACCTACTACTCTATGTGGATGACATTGTTCTGACTGCCTGCAGTGCTTCTCTCCTCCGCCGCACTATCACTGCCTTGCAACAAGAATTCTCCATGAAAAACTTTGGTCCTTTGCATCATTTTTTGGGCATTTCAGTCACGCAACATTCAGGTGGTCTCTTCCTGTCACAACAGCAGTACACCATTGGCATCCTCAAACGTGCTGGTATGATGGATTGCAAACCGTGTAGCACGCCTGTGGACACTCATGCTAAAGTTTCTGCTACTGAAGGTGCTCCTGTCACTGATCCTACCCACTATCGCAGTCTTACAGGAGCCCTGCAGCACCTTACTTTCACAAGACCAGACATTGCTTATGCTGTTCAACAAGTATGCCTTCACATGCATGATCCTCGCGAACCTCACTTGTCTGCTGTTAAGAGGATTCTCCGCTATCTTCAGGGAACTCTCAGCCATGGCCTGCACCTTCAGCCCTCCACTCCTTCTGAACTTGTGGTCTATACTGATGCCGATTGGGCTGGGTGTCCCAACACTCGCCGCTCCACTTCAGGCTATGCTGTGTTTCTTGGCGCCAATCTGGTTTCTTGGTCTTCAAAACGCCAAAACACAATCTCTCGTTCAAGTGCCGAAGCTGAATACCAGGCTGTGGCCAATGGAGTTGCTGAAACTTGCTGGCTCCGCCAACTTCTACAGGAATTGCATGCTCCACTGCCTCGGAGCACATTGGTCTACTGCGACAATGTCAGTGCTGTATACTTGTCCACCAATCCCGTACAACATCAACGCACGAAGCATGTTGAGATTGATCTCCACTTCGTTCGTGAACGGGTCGCCATTGGTGATGTTTGGGTTCTTCACGTACCAACGACGTCCTAGTTTGCTGACATCTTCACCAAGGGTCTTCCCACCTCCGTGTTCCAAGATTTTCGCTCCAGTCTTCATATCAGCGAGCCCGCCGATTCGACTGTGGGGGGGTGTTAGCATGTTTACTGCTTCCTTTATTACTAGCTGACTGCCTAGGAACCTCCCCTGGCTGTCACTTACTTACTCCCCCTCTTTACTGCTAGTATTTACTTCTCCTTTTGCTGCTAGACGGCTGATGCCTGGGAATCTTCCCTGGCTGTCGCCTGTGTGCTTCCCCTCTCTCTCTTGTGTTAGTCTAGCTCCTATATAAATCCCTGTAATTTGGTTTACTCAATATGAATGAATACAAGAGCTAGTTCATCCTCTATCATCTTGCCTTGGTGCTCACGCACAGAATGTTGTGCTGAGCGTAGGCATTGTCATATTCTTAAGACTGTTCGTGCTCTTATTATTGTTTCTTCTGTTCCACCTCACTTTTGGCCTGATACTGTGTCTACTGCCACTTATTTGATTAACATTCAGCCTTCCTGTGCCTTTCATGGTGGAATCCCATATGAGCACCTCTGGGGCAAGACACCTGACTACTCAAGTCTTCGCCTTTTTGGTTGTTTGTGCTATGTTCTTGCACCCCATGAGCGCACTACATTGGGTGTTTTCATGGGCTATAGTGCTGAGTAGAAGGGGTATCGTTGTTGGGATCCTGTTGCTCGTCGCATGCATCGATTTCTCATAATGTTACTTCAGACGAGTCTCGCCCTTTCTACCCTCGTCCCTCTGATGTTTCAGCAACCGCTGTTGTTAAGCCCTTTCTTTTCACCTCATTCTCCCACTGTCCTACTATTGCGCCTTCTCCCCAGCCATTTTTACCGACTCCTCTTGGGACCATTTATGGTTCCGATCTGCCTGTTATCCACTCCTGCAGCCATCTCCAACGTATCAAGGGTCCTTTGCCTCTTGTTATGCCATCTTTGGATGTGACTCCTGCTAAGCTACCTTCTGCTGAGGATCTTTCTTCTCAGCCATCCTCTCGTTAGTCGTTATAACCTTCGGGATCGTGGGTCGCTCAAGCCTGCAGACCATTATGGTTATCGTGATGCCATTTGTCATCCATAAGCGATGACCAAGGAGATCACTGCTCTTGAGAGCACTGGCACATGTGATCTTGTTCCTCTTTCTTCTCATGTTCGTCCCATCATGTGCAAGTGGGTTTATAAGATAAAGACTTGCTCTGATGGCTCTCTTGAGCGTTATAAGGCTCGTCTTGTAGCCCATGGCTCTCAGCAGGAGCACAAGCGTGACTCTGATGAGACTTTTGCCCCTATGGCTCACATGACCACTGTCGAAGTCTTCTTGCTGTGGCCTCTATTTGTGCATGGTCTATCTTTCAACTTGATGTGAAGAATGCCTTCCTTAATGGTGAACTGCATGAGGAGGTGTATATGCAGCCACCCCCTGGGTACTATGTTCCTGAGGGCATGGTTTGTCGTCTTTACCATTCTCTTTATGGCCTCATGCTTGGTTTCAGTGCTTTGCCTCTATGGTCACTATTGCTGGTTTCTCTCCTAGCACTCATGATCCTTCCTTGTTTATCCATACTTCATCTTGTGGCTAGACCCTTATTGTCCTATATGTTGATCCTCTTCGTTACTTTCTTGGGATTGAGGTCTCTTCCTCTTCCGAGGCTTTTATCTGTCTCAAGAAAAGTACATTCATGATCTTCTGATCGTTCTTCTCTCACTGATCAGCGCACTGTAGAAACGCCCATGGAGCTTAATCTTCATCTTCTCCCCATTGACGGTGAGCCTCTTGCTGATCCCTTACTGCTACATTGTTGGGAGGCCTGCCCATTTCAGTCAGTTTGTTTCTGCTCCCACTCAGCTCCAATATAGTCATCTCCTTCCTTTTTTTGCATTAATCTGTGGAACCATTTCTCGTCGTATGTTCTTTCTACGCTCTAGCTCTCTCCATCTCCAAGCGTACTCTGATGCTACTTGGGCTAGCGACTCCTCCGATCGTCACTCTCTTTCTGCCTACTGTTTTTTTCTTGGTGGCTCGCTCATTGCTTGGAAGACAACTAAGAAGCAAACAACTGTTTCTCGTTCTAGTGCTGTAGTGCAAAGGCTGAGTTGCGAGCTATGGCCCTTGCTACTGCAGAGTTTACTTGGCTATGGTGGTTACTTGAGATTTTGGTGTCTCTATTTCTGTGCCAACACCTCTTCTGTTTGACAGTACTGGTGCTCTCAGCATTGCTCGCGATCTGGTGAGGCATGGGCTCACTAAGCATATTGGTGTTGATGCTTCTTGCACTCAGGCACAGGTGCAAGATGGTGTTGTTGCACTAAGCTTTGTGCCCTTACAGCTTCTGTTGGCCGACTTCTTCATGAAGGCTCAGACAAGAGCCCAACACTGTTTCTATTTATCCAAACTCAGTTTGGATTGATCCACCCTGAGTTTGAGGGGGGGGAGGTGTTTATGTATTTTCCTCTTTGTTTAAGGGTCTTTATGCATTCCTGCCTATGTACATATTTGGGCTTTAGCCCTTTTTTCCAACACAAGCACAGTTCCAGACTGATTTCACCTACTTAAGATGGACACCAACATAGACCATGAAATCTATTTGAACCATTACTCTTCAAACAATTTTGGTCCTGCAGAGAAATTTGATTCTGAATTTTGATGAATTCTTCGTAATTTTGTTAAGTGTCATTAGTGTAAAAGGTAATGGATAGGGGAATATTTACAAAAATTCTCATATGTTTACAAACTGTATTGGTAATTTGATGTTTCTTTGCAGATGCAAAAAATTGGATTGCAACCATCAAATTTTACATATGACGGCTTTGTTAAGACTGTGATGGCTGGGAAAGGAATTGCATATGCCAACAAAGTGGTATGCTACCAGCAGCTTTGCTGTTTATGATCCTGTAGCCTGAAAGGACATCTCACTAAATTGATGATGACATACACCATTTTTTTTTAAATTTTTAATGAAACCAATTAGTTGTATTGCTCTGATTTCCATTAGGCCATGTTCGGTTGGAGGGGATTGAATCCCCAAGTGGAACCAATCCAGAGAGGAATTGAGTGGATCCCCTCCCTTGTCACTCAAACCCCTTGAGGATTAAATTCCTTCTTTCCCATTCTCACTCTCCGTCCAAATGGTGTTCGGTTAATCCCTCTCTTCTTTCCCTGTTCAGTTGTATTAGGTTGTCAAGCACAGTTCCAGCTCTTTTACATAGATATACATACATCTTACTGTTAATACATGCATGACAAATGTACGGATAAAGCATTAGATGATGAGAATATGGACCTAGCTAGACAATGAACTGTACATGACGAGAACATGACATGGATCTATGGATCTAGACAATAAGCTCATAAATAAAATATTACAAGTCTCAAAAGACTAGTACATCTCAAAAGAACTGAACATGACGAGAGATATGGATCCTCGTCATGGATCTAGACAATGATACATTTCGCTATTTGGCAGAACAGCAGTGTACAGAACAACACCCTTCACCTTGTCAACCTCCTCCCGCAACAACTAGTCCAGTACATGCCTGCCAACAAAAGAATTAGGGTCCCTAAGAATTATTAGTTTCTGACACAAATTGTCACATATGGGGATGAAAAAAATAATATGCAATCATCTAATATACTTCCTCCGTTCCAAATTATAAGTCGCTTTGACTCTTTTGGTACATCCATTTTACTATGTATCTAGACATAACATATTTCTAGATACATAGAAAAATGGATGTTCCAAAAAAGTTAAAGCGAATATAATTTGGAACGGAGGGAGGAGTAATTAAACAATATGAAATTGAAGTATGAGACATGTTTGCCTCAATGCAACCAAACACTAAAAAGATACAGTTGCACTGACACAAAATTGCAATTATGGCCATTGTCCTCTTTTCAGAGGTTAAGGCAAACAAATCGAAACATCATTTATACATTCAGTGGCACTATGGTTAAACAAATAATAAAATAACTCGACACTATATAGAGAGCAATCACAATCGGCATTCGGAAATCACACACAAACAGCTTCAGAAGCATGCAAGAACTAGTAGTACTGAAACCAGTGTCTGGCTGTCTGCAAGATATGTGACAACAAAAAGTAGAAGAATGAAGAGTAGACAGATAGGCCTGAAATAACTTTACTCCCACTTCATAATATACCATTGCCTAATCAATCTCCAAGGGTATGTTGACATGCCAACATTAAAATTCATGAGTAAACTTACTATCAGTTAATTTAGAACTCCATGCAGCTTCTTTTTAATAAAATGCCAAGAAAAAATATGTTTAAAGCTGAGTAATAGTAGAATAAACATGAACTGGTCAGACATGCATACTAATGATTATTTTGTAGATTCAGCAATCTAGATTGGTCTTGGTTGGTTTGCACTAGTTTGCTTGAGACTTGGGGAGATGTCTGGTAACTCAAACATAGTAATAGTCTAACAGAGATCGCTAGAAGCAAAAAGGAGAAAAGCCATTGAAATCGAAACATTATGGTTAATCGTGATAGCTTGATGCATAGGCCGCATGCTGATGCATTAACATTCAATGATGAACTGATGCATAAACTGAATATTCAGTATGTTGCAAGCTCTCATACAAACAATGCCTATGCCTACTGTTCTAGCTTGTGTAATTATGAGATTCATACTGAAAATTCACAAGTAGAAGCGCTCATAATAGTCAGGGATGAAAATAGAATTCACAAAATTGAGTTTTCCTTGCCGGTGTTAAGAAAATAATGAATAAACCAATTAATCTCTCGCGGATAAAAATAACCGAGCTGGATCGAAAAAGCGTCATAGAACCGACCGCTGAACTAGGTAGAACGGAGACAGACAGAACATTGCCTCACTGGTCAACGCGGAGGTCGCCCGGTGTGCTTGTCAACTCAAGAACCCTACAGCATGGAAGAGGTGAGGGGAAACTTACAGGCGAGAAGGTGGCTACCAGAGGGGACGGCCACCGCCGTGAAGATCACCGCGTTGCCGTTGTCGAAGCCTCCAAATCTTGCCGCCACCGAGATGCCGTTGTACCTCGCCTCCGCGGCGATGCTTCCCCTCGGCGCTCGTGGCCGACGCGTCCCTTGAAGCGCTCCAGCCGTCGCGAGCCCTCCGCAACGATGCGAGGACCTAGCGACCTGGCAGCAGGTTGTGCGCTCGCCTCCATGGGGAATTGTTCCGTGACTCATGTGGAGTGTGTGGAAACCAGGCTAGGGTGGAGGGTAATCGCCTGGAATAGGACGGGGCAGAATCCTCGGGTCGGCTAACCAAACGCCACTTTCACAGTGAGCCGGGCTTGAATCTGCTTCGGGAGCATCCCTGTGGATCGGGCCGGGATCCCCGCGGGGAATGGCCTAACCGAACAAGGCCTTAAAGTAGATTTAGACTCTGTCCAATTATTATTAAGAATACTGCAATGTTAAGAATATTTTTACCTACTCTCCTCAAAAGCCACTATGCAAAATTGAGCTATACCTGTAATATTGCTATTATGTCCTCTAACTATGGTCCATTTTACTTGCTTAAGACATCGTTGGTCTTGAGTGTGCATGTCTGGCTATTACATTTTCTATATGTCAACAAAACAATAAAACTATAATATAGCAGCACTTTAATATTATATTATCACTTTTACGCGACAAATTTAAATACTTTTACATGTATTGAAAATTTGAAAGGTTTGACTTCACAGTCCACATATCCGGACAATATCACTTTTATTTGGAGATAGCATTATTTTCTCACGTATATCTTATATTCATATGTTTTCCAGATTAAAGCCATGGAGAGAAGGGGCATTGGACTTTACAGTGATACACTTGCTGCTCTCTCAGTAGGTCATAGCAATAGTTCACAGTTGGATTTGGCTGAGGAACTTTTGGAAAGAATTTCAGAGATAAAACCAAAGCATCTTCATGCCTTTAATGCTTTGCTTTCTGGATGTGCGATTATGGTAATGCGTTGAATCTGGAAATAGATTTTATGATATTGGGTTTCTGTCCCTTCCGCTGAATCTTCAAATGCTTGATGCTCTACATAACGTCCACATCCACAGAAAGTAGTTTTCTATAGCTGTCACTGCACCAGCCTGTCAAATTAAAGTTTCTCTTTCATTAATAAGAAGAATGAACTAAACCTCTCCTCCCCCTCCCCGCTTTCTTGGCAGAATGAACCAGAAAGAGCTGTGCGCATACTAGCTAAAATGAAACATGTGAACATGAAGCCAACTCTCAGGACATATGAACTTTTGTTTTCTCTGTTTGGAAATGTAAATGTCCCTTATGAAGAAGGAAATGTGCTCTCTCATGTTGATGTTTCCAAAAGGATAAGTATCATTGAGATGGACATGTTTAACAATGGAATCCAACACAGCTTTGTGTCTATGAAGAACTTGGTAAGCCTTCTTTCCATGTCCTGTAGAGATCTAAGATATTTGGCAATAGTATGTATCCAGTTAGAAACCAATTCCATTTGTTGGCCTTTTCACATTGTCCACATCATGCTTTAACTTGTCCGAATAGGAAAATAGCTGATTTATACTTGTCTTAATCTTCTCTGTTTCTATCTAAAATTCCCTGTGAACTGTGACAGTTATTACTTAAAGGTAATAAGCCCACTACTATTTCCAGTGGTCAATTTAGTATATTTTTATGGTAATTGGAAGCACCATCTGAACAAGGACATATCATTGTTGTTTTGTCAAAAGTCTGAATATTTTCTCGCCAGCTAGTTCCCACTGGATGTCATAACCCAAAATCTTGCCAGTTAGTTCTCACAGACAGTTTACTGATTGAATTATCATCTATAAAAGTTTCTGGTATTGGTTGTGGCTTAACTTGCCAGTCACATCCCTCAGTGCTTCTTATGCTGAAAAATCCTTTGAATGTTCTATTTATTCTGTTTCAGATACGAGCTTTTGGATCTGAGGGGATGATAGAGGAAATGCTGAGGTACCTGAATATAGCAGAAAATATTTTGTGGAACATAAATCCTTATCAGAAGAGTGATCTATACAGCATTGCGTTGCATGCTCTGGTTGATCTGCGAAGGAAATGCACGATCAGCAACCTATTAAGTTTGTTCCGATGTGACAAAATGAGGATTATTTTATCTCTCCTCTTTGTAAAGCATGTAAATCTAGTTGTAACAGTTATTTTGGCTCATTTAATCTCGCTGAATTTGATGGGGAGATCCCAAGTGCAGTCACCAGTTATGTTGTAGTTACGGTGTTATGCAACCACCAAAGAAATTTTAGTTACAGTGTTAAGCAATCACCGCTAAATTGGGCATGGAATCAATAATAAAAAAATTTCTAAATAATTCAAGATTCATTCACTTTACTTGCTTATTTGCAAAATTCAGGTTCAGATTGTTTATGTGTTATGGATTATATAGCATGCAGTTCTTTTCTTTTTGTTCTATCAAAAGCTGTAGTACATTTGGAGTTTTTTTTTGTTGAAATTTGAATGTACTCCCTCTGTTCCAAATTGTAAGTCGTTCTAGCTTTGTCCTAAGTTAAACTTCCCTAGCTTTGACTAAGTTTATAGAAAAATGCATAAACATCTACAGCATCAAACTAGATTCATTAGACACACCATGGTATATAGTTTGATATTGCAGATGGTAATGTACTTTTCTATAAACTTAGTCAAAGTTAGACAAGTTTGACTTAGGACAAAGCTGAAACAACTTACAATTTGCAGTGGAGGGAGAGTGCTACAACACTCCATAGACTGTATATTGCCAAAGTTTTCGTATGGGAACTGGTTCATGTTGGTTTGGTACTTTGGTGCCAAACTGAAATTTCATTGCATGACTGCATTTTGCAGATATTGAACTTGTTGTGTTATAAATCTTGATCCATGTTTCTTTTCTGGTTTGCAGACTCACAGAGCAGTAATTATCTTCAAAATCATGAGATCATGCAGCCTTCCAACTAATATTTCAATTTATAATACCATGATAGAGTGCTGCAAATGGTTGCCATGTTTCAAATCAGCTAGTGCTTTGCTGTCTTTGATGCTCCGAGATGGCTTCAATCCTAAGGTTGTGACTTTTACATCACTCCTGAAGGTAAGTCTGGCTAAGAATAATACATGTCTTTTAGATCTATCATATTACCGATTACATATTAGTTGGGTTGACTTTTAGTGGTCCGATTGATCTCATGTCTTTTTCATGATGTAAGATAGGTTGTATTAGCAAATAATAATTTTGAAGGGGCTCTGGATCTGCTTGATATATGCAAGATTGAAGGACTTCAGCCTGACATACAGATTTTCAACACAGTACTCTCACGTGCATATGCTAGAGTATGTTTATGATAGAAATCATATATTTTTCTTCCCCTACTATAGTGATGCTGAAGTTAAACTCATTTTGGACATTCTTCACAGGGTCAAATTCATGTCCTTGAATATATTGTGGAGTGTATACACCGAGCAAAAATCCAACCTGACCCATCAACACTTTGGTACACATTTTGTGCCTACGAGGAGCATGAACTGTACAATACTGCAATTGAGGCATTGCTAGTCCTCAGCATGAGAATGATATCTGAGGATGTCAGCATTCTTAGTGAGAAAAGAATTGTTTTTGAAGATCTAATCCTCAGTGAAGAGCCTGATGCTGAATTAAGGATCATAAGGGCATTCCAAGCTGGTGAAGAATTTCTCGCGACGGCTTTACTGAACCTAAGATGGTGTGCCACAATGGGTGCCACCATATCTTGGTCACCAGAGGAGAGTCTTTGGGCAAGGAGGCTGGCATCCTCGTATGATGCTAACAAGGGACCACATATAAACCCCTCGGATGTTCCCAAATCTTGGTGAAGGAATCCACTTAACCGGAAGCTTACTGAGACAGAGCAGAGTCATTGGTCTCTGTCTAGGGGCTCACAGAATGAAGGCAAATCTCTCTGTTAAGTATGATGACAATGTTGTGTTCTGTTTTGCTGGAAGCCAGTCGATGTTTTTTTTTTACCTACCTAACATGATTGCAGTGCGATCAGGCCTCCCTACCTATCGTGAAGCTTGATCATGAAACATGCAGCGGTCTATCATTTCCTTCCCTTTGGCAAGGGGCTGACCTATTGGCCTTGTTGTACCGTTTTCAGGCTTCTAGGCCAACAGCTCTATGATCCGATTCTTTATATTACTTGATAGGTTGCTCACTTGATTGTACTGGCTGTCGGGAGCATTAGCTTTGCAAAATTTGTAGGAACATGTATGACGGTGACGAAGATCGAGTCACATGGCAGTGACAGAAGAATAAGAGGTGTTACAAGGTACAATAGCTGGAACCCAAAACTTGTTCTGGTTGTTTTGAAGGTGTTTGGATTTTGGAACGATGATGTTATAATTATAATTTATTCTGACAAAGGTAGATTGTAGAAGGATGGTGATGAATCTGATATCACTGATTGACCTGTTACCCCGTGGTACTGGGTTGATCTTTGTTGTACATCAGTTGTTTTCTGGCAGGTCGTTTTGTTCATCCCATTTGGCTGCACTTTGTAGCTGCTCGAATAACAGACCAACATGACATTATTCCATCTCAGTCATAGATCATTTGTCTATAATTATCATCCACTTGGTTTTCCTCCTCTTTCCGTCTGGTTCCTCCTCTTTCCGTCTGGTTCTGCACCTTTTTAATTGTATGGTAATGTATTCCATCTGTTTCAAATTATAAGATGTTTTGACTTTTCTAGATTCAATATACATTTATATGCATAGTAAAAGTAACATTTAAAAAAGGCAAAACATCTTATAATTTGGAACTCGGAAAGGAGAGTATCTTTTCTGGATTGAAATAATTGTTTCCCTCTTTTGAGATGTAATAATTTCCCCGTTTTTGAATGGATGAATTTGTTTATAGGTATTTGAGAGAATTTCCGTGCTCCGAACGGTCAATTTCTGGTCACCAAAACGGTTGATCCTTTGTCCATCTGTATATCGTTGCATGCTGTATGTTTTTTGATAAAAAAAGAATCAGAAGTTCAAGAGTTCAGCTTCAGAATTTCTGGGAAGATGAGATGTTCCCCACAGGCCGTTGAATGACCGGGGTTTATCCAGATTCCAGACCAAAAGACAGCACGAGCTCCGGTTGTGGTGTACTAGGGCACTAGCAGATGATTGGTGAACGGCGGTCGTTACCGCGAGCGGTCTCAGGGAGGTGCAGGGCGTCCGTCTCCGTCCGCTCTGGTCCTGGTCGGGTCGGACACTCGGACGAGATCCTTCTCTCCTCTCTCTCCACCGCGCGGTCAGCTGTGTCGTCACGGTCACGGCTCGCAAGTCGCAGGCGGCACGGGCGTGTCTGGGTCTGGTGCAGGTCCAGGTGGTCGTGTCGCCGCCTCCGCTCCCCCCCTCGCCGCGCCACGTGTCACCCGCCGCTTCTCTTCCATTCCACCCCGCCCCCCGGCCCTTCTCCCTCCTCGCGCGTCGCGATGAAATAGGGCGCAGGCTTGAGCGAGAGGACCGCGCTGGACACCACCGCGTGCTAGATAGCGGCGACGGGAGGCAGGGAGGGGAACCGAGGACGATGGCGCTGGGCGTGGTGTTCCACGGCGCGCAGCTGGCGCTGGATCTGGCGGTGGCCGGGATGTCGCTGGCGGTGGCGCTCGCCTTCTTTGCCCTCGTCACCACCGTGCTATGCTCCGCGGCGTTCCTCCACCACTCTAAACCCACCGCGGCGTCATAGACGGCACCACCGCGCCGCAACCTCTGGGTACATTCCTAATCGTACGCGCATGTTTCCCGATCTCACTGGGTTCATTCCGTGGCCACTAGCCTGGGTTTTGGAACAAATTCGTCTGCGCTGTCTATGCTTATTCTGTGTGGAACTGAACAATGGCGCTCGGTGCTATGTTTCTGAACTGTAGATGGGAACATGAGATCATTCAGGAATGTTAACCGCTATCTCCCTAGCATTTGAGTGTGCATTGTGCTGCGTTGCATTAGAATCTCCACCCTCCATTTTTTGTATATAAGACGAAAAGGCCGTACTAACTACTAAATGGGATATTGAAGCAATCTCATCTGTGATCCCGAAATTTAAATTTAGGCTCTAGCAGTTGCCAGATGTGTACATATGTTTGCAGAACAATTTCACAAACTAAGCTAGTAGGTAGTGAATTTTATCTTCCATGTTGCCTTGGTTGTCTTTTACTCTTTCTTGTGACTAGTTCCCCAGTAGATAATTCAGAGTGAAAAGCTCCTTCCATTTGTGCCTATGGTCCTTCACAGGTCCTGTCCACCTGTTGAGGACTGTGGTATCTCTATATTCCAGTTTGGGCCATTCATATACTACTCAAGATTATCCTGTCTGAGTAACTTTGAATCTTTGATGTATGAAGATTCCTTTTCAGTTGAATTGTGTATGTTCAAGGTTTCCATAGAAAGGTAAAGGTTTATACTGCTATAGGCACACGTTATCAGCAGAGGGATATGAACTAGCATCTACCATGACACTTCTTTTCTCAGATACGCAGGACGACTGCACATCATTGCATTAAGAAGGAGAGAGAATATTTACAAGACATAAACTCACACTATGAAGGGCGGGCCTGGTGCAAGCGGTAGAGTCTTACCGTCTGTGACCGGAAGGTCCCGGGTTCGAGTCGCGGTCTCCTCGCATTGCACAGGCAAGGGTAAGGCTTGCCACTGACACCCTTCTCCAGACCCCGCACAGAGCGGGAGCTCTCTGCACTGAGTACGCCCTTTTTTACATAAACTCACACTACACCTTACTTGTTTATGGAACAAACTGGACTGAAACTGAAAAAAAACACTCAACTGGAACAACTATCTACCATGACACTCGATGAGGTAGATTACCCATAAGACTAGCCACAACGTCAGTTTTCTACCGATGCTGAAAGAAGGGAGAGAGCGTTGAAGCATCGAATCATCCCATTGTGCTCACCGATGCTGAATCATAAACAGAATGAGTCGAGTAGTCTTCTTGCTTCGATGCTGAGCAAATAAACAATTATTTCACAGCCAGCTGTTGGTTCCTACCCTGGGATGGTTCTGATGATTTGGTCCAAGTATCAATGTAACAATGTTTGGCTGATGGTTCCTGGCATGGGCATGAGCTGGCATACGGAGAAAATTTTCAGCACAGATCATGGTTAGTCTAAGTGTTGATATTGGCTCCTCTGTGGTGCCGAAATTTTGGCTCTATAAGTTGCCAAATGTGTACCTATAGTTGCAATTTCTGAACATTTCACAAACTAACCTACTAGGTTGGGAATTTGCGTCTCCCATGTTGCACTGGTTGTCTTTCTTGTGATTGGTCCCCTAGTAGATAATTCAGGGTGAAAGATCCTGATTGACATTCACCGAAGATTGTGCCTATGGAGCTTCAGAGGTCCTGCATCTGCCTACCTGTCAAGGACTGTGATACCTCTATATTGTAGTTTGGGCATTCAGATACTATGACAATCCTTTCTGGGTAACTTTGCTGTATGAAGATTCCTTTTTTCTTGAATTGTGTATGTAATATGTTCAAGGATTCTGTAGAAAGATGAATATTACAAGGCACACATTATGAGCAGTGATAATGAACTAGCATTTATCATGACAGTTGACATTGTAGATTTGTTGTATGTCCATAAAGTGTCCATATTGACTTTCATCTTTCATCCTAGATACTGTTTGGTTCACCTTGTATCCACTAGTTCAATCAAATGCTTCAACTCTTTACCATTCCCTTTAATAAGGCTTTCTTGCTCTATTTCAGGGATGGTAATACTGTTGCTGGTCTAATTCCTCCACATCAATTGCAGAGAAGGAGGTGCTTTAATCGACTGCTTTAGAGCACTTGCAGATGCAAAGAGTAGTCGATTGCACACATCAGGTGATAGCTATAGGCTCGTGTACCACATGTGTATGTTTCTTTATGTTGGTTTGTAAACTAGATGTTTGTACTTTGTACTATAGTTTTTGTAATCAGTCTCTTTCCAGATTTACATCTCATATAAATAGTATGTGCATTGTTTAATTCGCATGTTTAACAGCCAAACATGAAACCCTTGTGTCGGTTGATTTACTCTGGATGCTTCATCGGCAATATAAATTTCTCTCTTTCATAGAGTTTATTAGCTCTTTCTCTTGGTAAAATTGCCACTTTTCAGCCATATAAACGCCCTGTCCGTTTGGGCTTGTTTGGCTGATAAGCCATGGCTAAAAGTACTGTTGGCTGATTTGGTGTGAGAGAAAAATAATGTTCGTTGACTGAAAAAGTACGGCTTATAAGCCAAACAAGCCCAAACGAATAGGGCGAAAGACATTTCAAACTCTACACATACTGGGAAGAACAGTAAAAAGCAATTAAGTAGAGATCAACCTTCGAAATATATCTGGAGAGAGTGCTCTGTTAATATCTATATAAATACATGCATTTTTTATATGATGCTATGAGGATGGCTAATAAGAGTATGTAAGGGGTACATATTTGCCCTAAGATCCCAAAAGCTTTGCATTCCCCATGCTTCTACAGAGATTTTAGCTAGATTGTAAATGGTCGAGAGACATCTACAAGGGTTCTACAACAGTTACCTAAAGAAGCTTGTTCGCGAAGAACAAGAACTACGTCTCTTGTTGTGGCCCCTTCTAGTGGTCTTCTCTTCTCCTTTTTTCATCTTGCCTGCTTTTTTGTCACAGCTGTTAGCGAGCTTGGTACGTATCTCACCTTGCTCACCGCTATCGTGTTCATGGACGGAATTGTCTCTTTTCTCATGAATTTTCTTTTCTTTGCCATTAAGCACCTTCACTTGAGCTGGTCCTGTGGAAGCATCGGAAGCTAACGAATCATAACCTCCATCATCAGA